CAGTTGAAGGCTAAAATTTTGAGTACTGAACTGAATTTTATTTAAGTCTAGGCCTTTCTGTTTCTCACCCTAAAAAAGACTTTCCAGGTAATTTTTAGGCTAAATATGAGAAGCCTTTATGTCTCAGCTGATTTTTTTTTTTTTTTTAATTTTTAAGCAGAGGTCGGAGTTTTGCATATTTTATTGTCTGCAAAATCAACAGACTTACAGATCTATAGACTTAATTAGGCAATGGAATTTATAGCCTAAGATAAGATGTTTTATGAGAAACTCTGATATGCCCAGTGGATTAGCCATAAACCTTTCCATTAAGTCATCATCTTTGGAAATTATTGTTGCATACCTTATCCTGATAAGCTAATAAAAATGTCATTTTCTCTGACTCTTCTAAAAGTATACTATAGAGCTGTAGACATGTCTGTATAATTCCATTATGCGTTTTGTTTTGTTACCATGCAAAACTTGTATGCAAAACACAATTAGCTTGAACTGAAGGCAGGTGGGTCTCTTCCCCCAACCTGGTGGCAAGTGTGTGCTGTTCTGTGCGTTTTTTTTGCTTGTGCCACAGGAATATATTTTGTTCTGTTTTATTAGAATGAATAGCTGGCGGTGGGAACAGAACTGTAGATAGGGATGGGCCAATACTTGTTTCAGTGCTTAATGTTTTTGTGACTGTGGAAGGAGAAAGTTCTCCCAAATGGGATATTCTTAGTCATATGTGTCTCTCATAACATATGTCTCTCTGATTCTATACGTCTGCCTTTGTCATTGTAATTCTTTATGTAAATGATTTCACAAATTGCAAGGTTAAAGGAAGGGACGGTTGCTTCTGTGCCTGCTGCAGAAAATAACGAAGCTTGTGGTTCGCTTGCATCATAGGTTTCCTTTCTGTGTTCTTCCTGTAGCCAAGAACCGTGCATTTGCATAGGAGCAAAGCTTTTATTGTATCTGTGCAGCATGGTACTTTGCAGCTTGGCACAAAAACAAGATCAAAAAATGGTCAACATTCATAAATTTTGTAGCCTTTTTCCTGCTTATAAATTCTTTAATGTATTAATTTGAAGTTGTGCATTTATCAATAAGTACATCTAATAATCGGCCACTGTATCTCGCTGGCCCCATCTGTTGTCTGTTGCCGAGTCCTCTTCGGTTATGTCTGACTTAGATAGTAAGCTTCTTTTCATATGGCTCTGTCACTTTTTCTTAAGTTGAACACACGTATGCTAGTGGCTAAGCCACTTTCTTATTTGTTTTTTCCACTGGTTGCACTGGAGAACTGTAGTTGCTTTTGCAACCGGGAGGGGAGTTGGCTGAAATAACTTTGCTTTTGAAAGCCAATTTCATGTACTCCAGTTCTGTGGCTCACAAAAGGTAAGGTATGTATTTCCCCTTGGTACCCAGCGTGCTTCAGACTGGTATTCAACTGAAGCTTCTTCCAGCAGTCTGCAGTGTTTCCAATACCTTAATAACAACAAATTTGGGAAGCCCTGCTCTCACTTCACAAATTCATAAATAAATTAGAACTGTTACTGTCCTCTTTGGGTGTCAGGTACCTGAAGTAAAAAAACACTTAAATATGGACTGGAGTTTTAGCCATAGTTTAACGGTAGATCAGAGCATGTCTCTTTAAATGTTTGTGGAGATGATAATTTTAAATGAAAGGTACAAATGTTGACTGTCCTGTATGATTATATAATGTAAAATAGTGTCAAAGAGAGGTCAATCAGGTATGAAACCTGGTCTGCTTATTTTCATTTTATCCTTTTGCAACCACTCCTGTTCTCTTTTGTTGCCTTTGCTGTCCTTGGTTGTCTCACTGGCTGCATCAAAAAACTATAATTTGCTCCCTGTCTCCTGTGAGGAAACCCCCAATGCAAATAGAGCTATCAAACCTCGGTCATAAACCCTGGTGAAAGGTTGGGGGGGAATTCCTTGATTTTTTTTTTTTTTTGAGATGTTACAACACCCCTTGATATTGAAAGGCTTTCACTCCCTTTGCTTTTCCTCAAGAGCTAAGCGAGCATCAGTGCACTGAAACCTGGAAGGCATGAGCTGCTTCTCAGTGTCTTTACTGAGCCCCATAGAAGCTGAGGGGAGACCAGTGTTTTCTGAAAGGCTTGCAAATGTTCTATTTTGACAGGCAAATGTAATATATTTAAATTACCCATTTGAAGCAGCAGCTATGTGTTGTACGTGATCTACTTTGGGTTGATTATTTGACTTTAGTCTTGTAACAAGACATTGTTAGAGTCTGTCTGCACTATGGGTTGAAATCACTACAAGCAGGTTAGGGGACAAATGGATTTTTGCAGCGACTTTTTGTTTAGGCTTACTTTTGTATTGTGTTTGGACCCTAGAAACTGTTGACCATAATATTGTCAGCATAAATATCAAGTGTTTTTCATCTGCAGTTATATTTGCCTTGTAAGCATGTACCAGACTTTAAAACTACTTGTATCGAGTGTAGGCATAAACCTACCACCTTGGCCCTGAGTCCCAGGTTCTGCAGCATAATAGCTAGTCTCTTCTGTTGGGATCAAACCTGGCTTTAGTTACAAGATAAATGAGTTGTTTGTTTCAGCATAGCCTCTTGTGGAGGTTTGTTCCCTTGGTAGTACAAAACTACCATGCATTTTAGCAAACTTCCAATCCCTGTAGTAGGGGTAATGCAGGTCTCTTAAGAGGAATATTAGCCCTAGCTGTGGGAAGCTAACACTGTGATAGCACTGACCAGAGCTTGGAATTGTCTGCTACAGGGGTGATGAAATTAAAACAAAAAGTTACCTAAAATAAGAGATTTTTTTTTTTTTTAATTTCAATGTAGTATAGTAACTAAGACTGTAAACTGGATTCTAGGTCTTACTGCAGTCTTTCTGATTATAGTGTGGTATGAGCTGGGCTGAATGTAGTGTGCTTGTAGCTGCCTTGTCTGTGTGAAAGTATGTTTCTTCCAGAGACTGGATGCTAAGTTACAAACAGACAGAGTAACTTTCCTCTGTTAGGAAAGTTGACAGTAGCAGTTGAAAACAAACTTGTGGGACACCTGGTTCTCTTTACCTATGTAGTTTGATTTCTTGTGTTTCAGTCCCAAACTCTTGTGCGTCTTCCCCCCACCCCACCATGCTAATTGCTTCAAAAGTCAATTTAGTCCTTGAAAGATTTTGTTCTTTAGATTCCTTTGAAGCTTTTTTGAATTTTGCATGTGTTACTGAAGTGAATATTTTTTCTTTTCTCTCTTTTTTTTTAAGTTATAACTTTGAGTGACACCTGCTAGTGTGATTGCTTTATGTTTTTATAGCAATAGGTTTTGAAGCTGCATCGGACTGTGAATTTAAACAGTTAACTCTTGGCAAATGTCTTATGTCAAAGCTTTGGCATCTTGTTCTTTAGAAAACCTTTTCAAATTAATAACATGCATCCACCAGATTTATTGCTTTCCAGGCTGAAAGCCTAACGATAGTCTTCCGTGTCTAAAAATGGTTGTTGTTGTTAAGGCCATCTTTAAGAAAATTGTGAGTTTGACTTTTGAGTGCAAATATGCACATATTATAAAGATACTGGGGAGAGAAAAATAGTTTTAGTAATGTATTGAAATGGATTTGGAAGGATCTTGTTTTAATGCCCTGGGGCATGGAAGGGATACTGTTAAAGTTGAGAAGCCTGGTCCATTTTTATATCTATAAAGAGTCTAGAAATATTGAGTACTAGCTAGTATATCTTGTTCGTTTTGCATTGGTGTGTGGGATATAACTTGATGTGATATTGTGGGTTTTCCGTCTTTAAATATTTTCAGTTATAGGCATTGGTTTTGAAAAATAAACCTCTTGCTGATAGTATTTGTGTTTATAGTCATTTCTTAAAAAAAAAAAAAAAAGGCATTCTATTAATTCCGTTCATATTTTTTTTCCTTCAAGTTTGTTTTTAAACTAAGAAATTGAAATATGGTAAAGTTTGAAGTGTTCTGAAATTAGGCTTTTAAGTAATGTAATAAGTGGATGAGTAGGGCACGTATGCGTTTTGGAAGATGTATTTCCAGAAGATGTATTTCCAGAAGATTTTGGCTTGGTAGAGTAGGATGGGATGTGCGTGTATGTGTGCGTGTATAACGGATGTCAGAGCAAGTGACACTCTGAAAGCTGAGAATGTATTGGGAAACAGAATGCTGAGTGCTTTTTAACTGGCTGTTAAGCATGACTTAAGAGCCTTTAAGCTGAACTTTAATGTTGGAGGCAGGAGAAAGAAACCCAACAACCTGTAAATCTGCAGCAGGATAGTCTTGGATTCTGTTCAGTGCACTTTAATTAACCAGATGAGGTAGTAAATTAAAGTACCTCAGACTGACTTGACAGTTAATTAAATCTTGGCTGATTTCATTGAGAATGTGATCATTAGTGTAATTGGCCAAAGTGACAGGAGGCCTACTTGGAATTGTGCCCACTTGAAATTTTTCTCTAGTTCTGCATATGCAGTCCTGGATAGAAAACTAGACAAATGGAGCTCTATCCTAATAATTTCCAAGGATTTTGTGTAGCTGTCTGGAAATAAGCAAGCTTTAGCAGGCAAAAATGAAGAAATGGGTTACTTGGGAATCCAGATGGCAAAACCTTTTGGGGTTTATGCTTTGTGAAGTACTTTGAATCTCTTCTTTCATTGTGGGATTTGTATAGATATATATATATATATATATAATGTGCAGAGTTTTACGCACACACACACACGCGTGCGCGAGCTTTAGTGACTGACTATATTGAAAGCCTGATCTTTCTTTAATGGTATCTGGATGCTTAAGACAGGGTTAGATTTTCTTCTTCCAGTTGAATATCGCTTACCTAGCTTGATATCTTCCTTTGTTTGGGAAGCAGCAGTGTTCTTCTGTTGTTTTTGTGTACATCTTGTTTTGTCTGAGCACTTAAATTTATAGCCCTGATTTACAAGTTGCTTTGGTTTGCAGGGCTGCAGAGTGGATATGTTGTTTCAGTAGAGTTAGAGGGGGTGTCTACAAGCATCATAGTCCACTTCATATGGAGTTATTGCAGTACTAGAGCGGCAGACTGCATTTTTGGAGGTAAAAGCTTGCTCCCTTACTTAGAAAGTGTCTAGTGCATGCGGGTATTACTGTGATGGAATTAAGTTCTAAAGCTTTGCTTCTTCAATTACACCAGATTTTCTGGTCCACCTCTGAGTCTTCTGCTCTGAGAAATGCATTGTTAACACCATGATTTCCTCCTTGGACTCCATCAACAGATAGTTCTTTTTTCGTCTTCTTGAAAAGTAACCGAATATTCATTTGGTCCTTTTAGTTCAAAAGGAATTATTTAAATATGCCTTGGAAATTCCCGAGCATCTTCCTGATAGCTGAGGCGGTTCTCTGGGCTTTGTCGCCTCTGCTGGGGAGGTATAAAAGCCTTTCTCTGTTCTTGTTGCTTCTGTACCACTTCTAGACCTTCTGGGGCTTGTGGGGCAAGAATATGAGATCAGAAACTAGTTCCAGATCTCCTATGTGGCAGTCAGGCACACCATGATGTTAGATTATGCAATAATATAATCTGAAAAGTGCAAGTAAGCTCACACGTGTGGGTGTCTGCATAAAAAATTCTGTAGGAACACCACAATGTAGGATTTGATAGAGATTAAATGTTCTCAAGCAGACCCTGATAAGACTCTTATACCCCTCCCTCCCTTCCCTAGAAACTCTCATACAGAGAAGTAAGTTTTAAGATGCTTAAAATAAGCACTATCATAGAACTTGAAAAGTATGCTTTCTTTTTTTCTGGAGAGTACAACCTCAAATTAATTCTACACAGCTCAACAGAGTTTACTTCTGAAGTCAGGGAAGGACTACATGTTTTTCTGGAGTGTTGGCACAGAGTATCGCCGAAAGATACGCTGCATACAAAACATGCATATTGCAGCACTGCTGTGTATTCAGAGGGCAGCTGGTGAACCTCAATTTTTGAGATGCTCTTCAAATTAAGTAGTGTATTGTTCAGGTTTTGTACATCTGTGTAAATAGAAGGATAATTGCCTGGTCTGCTACGTGCTTCATAACTATCTTGTCCACCATAAAGAAAAAAACAAATGTTTCTTTATTGTTTGCCTCACCACCTCCCCATCCATTTTTTTCATTCACCCTTTCAAAAAAAAAAAAAAAGTCCTTTGTGCGACTCTGCTTACTTTTTTTCAAGTTTTGTAGGGGCGCACTGAATTGCTGCAAATGAACAGTTAAGCGTATAAAAGATGAATAACCTCCTGAGTCTAAAGTTTAAAGGAAAAAAAAAGTAGGCCACCTGTCAGGTTTGCCAATCCAAGTCGGATTTGATGGGCTCCAGAGTCATCCTGATTACTTCATCATCCTCTTAAAAAAAAAAAAAAAAAAAAAAAATTCCTTACTGTTCTCCCACCACCACTTGGCAAATGAAGCTTATTTCCTGTGTTTGCAGTTGAACTGATATATTAATATAACTGTAAAAAGTGTGTGGTGGGGGAGAATTGTTCTGGCAATTTCTTATAAGAACACTTTGTTTCTGTAGCAGAATTGTTGATGTTTTTACAAAATTGGGGGCTAGATCTTGAGTAGGTATAAACTTATTCTTACCAGTTAAGGAACTGGTATTAGAACACTCGTACATGGAAGCTTTAAAAAACAAAGTTGTTGGTGCACCAGCTACTGTTATTGACAGCTAATAATTTCCCTTAAGGCAACTGAAAGTTGATCTCTTTTTATATTTAGGGCTCCTTTGTTCAGCCCCTAATATGAAATGACTTCCTGTGATAGCAGTAAATTGGTCACCAACTGCTACTGAAGTAAAATAGAACATATATTTTGTGGGTTTCCTCCTGCTAGTTGTTTGCTTTAGCAAATAACACTTACTTCCAAAAAAAAAAAAAAAAAGGAGGGGGGAGCGATGAATGAAGGTTCTTTATTATCACTTAATTTTGAGCTCCAAATGTATTTATCTCTTAGTGGCCAGAGCATAAGGGATTTCCTAGAATATGAAGCCAACAGCTTTTTAGGTCATCTGACCTATCTTTCTGATGATGCCTGTTTGTTCCTTGTGCCCCTACCTGGATGTCTTCTCCTTTTTTTTTTTTTTTTTTAATTGTGTAAATTGAGTTGGATTCCTGTCAAACTCAGTAAGATATGTTTACAATAATCATAATCTCAATTTCTCATGTTTTAGCATCCAACAAGAGCAGAGAAGACAGCAAAGTACCTAAGATGTGAGAAGCCCTCCCTTATCAAAAGGAAGCTTTGTTTTCAAAATGGACCGAAGTAAGCGGAATTCAATAGCAGGATTTCCACCACGCTTGGAGCGCGCTGAAGACTTTGATGGGGGCAGTGGAGGTGATGGGACTGCATCCCAGATAGGAAGAGTTTGGACCTCTTCATACAGAGCCCTGATAAGTGCCTTTTCCAGACTTACCCGTCTTGATGACTTCACCTGTGAGAAAATTGGCTCTGGTTTCTTCTCTGAGGTGTTCAAGGTGTGTGTTTAATTCTTTCCCCCTTCATGTTGATTGCTTGGTGTTTGGTGCCGAGAATGCATAAGAGTATCAACGGACATACTTCTTTCTCTGAAGTCAGTTGTTTGTGCTTGTATTTGTTTCACTTGAGTGAGTGATAAAGAACTTTTCAGGTCTCAAATATTCCCCCTGTTGCACTTCCAGGTATTTATATATCACTAACAATTTATTTTCATAAAGTTGTAGAGGTTATTTAGGACAAGCAGTAAAGACTAGAAAATCTTTGGTTTGGCTTTTATCTCTGCAGTGTATTTTTGTATTCGTGTATTGTGTTACACACCAGTGGCTGTTGCTTCCCTCATATGTAAGTTTGGATGTCTTTAATTTAGCTTTACAATTAGGTTTGTGGGAATGTATTTGTTTCTTTACCAGTCTTTGCCTCCTGACGTTATATGCACATATGTTAGGAGAGCTACATGTGATTATTGAATTTGAAACCACAAGCTTCATTGCACTGGAGTTGTAATAGATACCTGCTCTTTTTCTTTTTCTTGTGATGTCCTGTCTTTTATTCACATTGTTAAAGATTTGTAAGATACTAGTAAATAGTATGAAGAAAAAAATCTGAGGTTGTCAGTGACCTACTACTACGATATCTGGAAAGTAGATAAAGATCTTTTTAGCACAATTTATGAATCCATACAGAAGTTTTGTGGTCTCAGTTTTATAATGCCTAGTGATATTCCAGCTGTCTTGACTGTTCTGCTGAGGTTTATTGTAGAAGAACAGGACACTGAGCTGACTTCCAGGTCTTCAGACGTTGCAGAAATAATTTGTTTCCTTGTCCTAGTTCCTGACTTTAAAGGAAGCCACCCTCCAAAGTACTTCCATGTCACTGAAATGCCAGAACACTTTATCTCACAATGTGTTTTATCTGTTCTGTGGTACTTCATGTAGTCTTTTCTTTAAGAATTTAAACAGAAAAAAACCCCTCTTATCCAATTTCATTGCTGTGAATAGGTATGTAAATTAGAAAATGAAGATTTTTTTTTAAACTGCTCTAATGCTCAAAGGCATTCAGATCTCCGCTTGTACCTCTCTGCTTGTCTGAAGGCAAACCCCTGCGCATAACTATTTCTAGCTATTTAGATGGATTTTTACTAGCTATGTGAAGTTTAATTTCACTAACACAAGTGTTTAATTATTTGAAATGGGCAGGTAAAAATTTTATTTGGGGTGTGGGAGACCTGGTACAGGTCAACTTTTTAATAAAACCTACTTGTATACCAACTTAAAATAAGGTTTTGCTTGTTTTTTTTCCCCCTAATTTTCCTATTTAGGAAACTTCCCGTAGTGCGTTTAGTAGCAACTGTCTTAGTATCCTGAGATATTTCTTAATGTAAAATGAACAGAGATTTAGAGTTCTGTGTGTCATTGGAATTCATCTTTGCAGCTGTTACGTCAAAACTGCCGTGGAGTGTAAAAATGTGCTAATACACTTGGTTGATGTCTAAGTAACTGAGGAATAAAAGGCTGTAGTTTGCTGATGAATTTCAGAATCCTGATTTTTGAAATAGTTTTGTCTTTGTCCTCAGTGTTCCTGATTAGAGTTTATATATTTCCTATTTTGTAACTTCAGGAGTTTGCCCTCTTTAATGCTTAGATTTTTTCAGTGCATAGACTATGAATTTATCCTATAGTGGTATTGGCAATCATGTTTACGTTGGGACTTTTTGAAGAGCTCTGTGCTGTGTGAACAGACTTACTGGGTGAAATCACTGTAACATTCTACCATGCCATAGTGAGGAACCCCATGGACAAGTTTCCTGAGGCAAGGTGCTCATGTATTCCAAATAAAAGGTACAGTATTATTGACCATTAGAAAACAGAAGTAGTTGCAGGGGAGGAAGCAGTTAAACAAAGGTAAACTTCTAGCAAGCCCAATAATTTATTTATTAAGAATCTCTTATATTAAGGATGTGCTTGGTTTAGTCAGGTGGTGGCAAACAGAGGTAAACATCTGTTTGAGAACTGCTATTGACCGAGAGAAATCCTTGATATCAGACTTACTGTCCTGTACGTAAATAAATCTGCAAACTTTCTGAAACCTTCCCCTGCCACAGCCCTTTCAGCAGAACTAAACTAGACATCACACAGTGTCAGTCTGCGATCAGTGGCATTACCCTAAGAAAGTGATGGTAATAGTCTGGGTGTCTTGTGTCTGTTTTCCCAGAAACAACCACAGATCCTTTGCAGGAAAACAAGGGTCTTTTCTTTCACGTTGATTACAAACAAGATCTAATTTTAGTTTTGGCACAAAGGGATGAGAAATTATTGCGACTCTTATCTTAGATGGAGTTCCATACTCATTTAAGCAAGTTTCTGTTCTGCCAGGATATCACCTTGGCCACCTCTGTGATTAATCCTGCTGTGCAGATCATCAAATTTCATGCAGGAGCCTTGATGTCCTTCCAGGAAAGAGAGCCTCATGGTTTGACGCAGATTAAGTTCAGTCTGATCTGCAGGCTTCTAGCTAAATAAACAAATTCAAGAAAAATTCAGGATAGTTCTAGACTTGTTGCTTAAGCATCTTTACAGGAGGGAAAAAGACCTCTCTTCAAATGAGTACAGTTATCTCAAAAAAACTTGTCACCAGAGCTTTCTCAATTATGTATTTGTCTATGATTCTCTGAGTATCAAACGCTAGGTTCACTCAAGTAACTCGGCCAAAAGTACTTGGACAGTTTTGAGGGTTTGTTTTTTTTGTCTTACCCTATAATTGCCAATTGTCTTCAGTGATTTCTCCCTTTCCACCCTTTTCTGTGGAAACTCCCTTTTTTGGTATAATCTTTCGCAGTGGGTGGAGATTGCCTCCTCTTAAATTGGGAGTGGGAATATGTTATAGCTTAGATGCACTTTGTGTTGCTTTGCAGTTTTTTTTTTTTTTATATTAGTGGTTGTGTGCTGTGAAGGATGTTTTAGCATTTCTAGTGCAGCTTTATTCACATACAAATTAAGCCTTGTGGTTTATTCAGCATAATCTAGCTGTTTTTTAGCACCATCACTATAACAATTAAAACTCACCTAAACACTAAGCATTGTGGAAACTGATTTGGAAAAAACTGAGCTTTGTCAAAATATTAGCAGTCTAGTTTGAAGCAGTTGGCTGACTAGTGCCCATTCTAATTTTCAAAGGCTAGTGAAGAACACTCTTAAGATTGCTCTTAGATTGAACTAGGCAAAGAATATTTATGTAAATGAGTAATTCCCACCCATGGCCCCCAACTTTTAAATTCCTTGCAAGGAAATGAATATCTTGCAAGATCAGTAAGGACTGATGGAACTGTAAGTAATTGTGCAGGAGATAAGCATCATGCACTGAAAATAGATACCATATTAGGAAAAAGATACTATTCATTGTAGAATGCATGTGTTGAGCGTCCGTGAGACTAAAGTCTAGGAGCTTTTTTAAATTCAAATATATTTTCTGGTTCAAAGCCATTACTAAATACTAAAGGTCCCAGAAAATGCCTTCGGCTGTTCTTGTGAGCTCTGCATTCTGTAGCTGAGCTTTTGAGAGAAACTGGAAATTCTCTGACCTTTTGTCAGAATATTAAAAGTGGGCTTTTCACAGTTTTATTCATGAATACATGAAAACGCGGATCATAGTTCCAATACAGATTTGTATGAATTGTGTCCTGTACGTTTGTATATTGGGAAAGTGATGTTGCCGTATAGATGTGGTCACTGTGGATTTTGAAGGTTTTGACTATTATGAGAGGGATGGTGAAGTCTTTTGGCATCCAGGGAAGAATACGTGGTTTTGTCTTGGATAGTCTTGGATGTTAAAATAGCTGTTTTGTTCAGAAGGTTCTCTTACTGTCTTAAATATGCTTGACCATCTAATTAGTACTATTATCAGAAGACAGTTCAACAGGAGTTAAATAGTTTGTTTGAGTCAGTCTAGTTCTGTAATGCAGGCCTACCTCAGTGCTGTTGTAACGATGGACTTAGTTGTTGAAAGCTTGCTCCCATGGGTAGAGAGTTGACCGAAATAACAAGCAGAAGAAGAAATTCTGTTTGTTAAGAACAGGCTCTGACAAAACTGCTAAACTAGTGCAGCCTTCAGAAGATTATCTAAACGTATTGGGATAGGCAGAGAGCAAATTTTGAAGACAGAGCTCAAGCCTACGAGGTCATGGCCCTGACCACCTTGAGCTGTCTTTATAACCTCGTACAACCTACAGGAGTCAAGAAATCAGCTATTATAAATTAGTCATCAGAGAAAGAATCCCTTCTTACAAGAACTTCTAAGCAGTTATGTCAGTATAATCTGTATCTTAAGCCTATACCTGGGAAGCTTATTCGTGTGAGCAGTAAGAAGAGGTGCATGAGATCTTAAAAAAAATCAGTTAATGAAATATTGATGTTTAATGGTAGATGGGGAAAGGCAAGCCCATGAATATTAGATGTATGTGACATAACGCAAAATAATCTGCCCTTAGTTGCAGAAGCAACTAAAATTTTAGGAAATGAAGCTAGAACGACTTTAAGAGGCCATCTCATTTGTCCCCTTCCTTCAAGGTCTGATCAGCTGTACCTGAATCACTTGTGATAGATGCTTAGCTAGTTCTCTAAACCCACATTGACAGCAGTGCTACAGAATCCATAGGTAATCCGTTTCAATGCTTAATTATCCCTATATCTAGAAAATTTCTTCTAATATTTGGCTTAAAAGTAAGTTTCAGCAGTAAAGGTTTATTTTCTCAGCGCTCATGTAAAACAATGTATGGATGCCTTCACTGTGGCACCTCTTACATATCTAAAGATTATCCCTTTTGATCTCTTCTCTTACCTAAAAAAAGTTACTTCGTTTGGTCATTTTTTTTTACATGTTGATGTTCATTCTTGGTACTTCACTGAAATTTTCACTGAAATTTTTGAAACCCGCACTTTTTAAGTGTGGTTCACAAATCTTGGATAATACTCTAGCTAAGTCTTTGCCACTCGGTTCAATTTAT